ACTACGCGTCCTCGCTCTCGAGGTATCTCGTCTCGCCCCTCCTGATAAACGATTATCGCGGTTGGCGACAGCCGCAGCGCGTGCCTGGGCCCGCTCCCCGTCGTCAGTGTCCTCCGTGGTGCGAAACAGCCGCGAAGATGACGGTAATCACGAAAGCGATCACCGAGAAGAAGGCGTCCGACAAAATGGAGCAGCCATTGTTTGTGGAGGATAATGCGGCGGTTAGTATTCACCTCCCCGATCGCGTGCGACGCCCGCGACGACGTCCCGACGAGCGGGGGATCCGCCACCTTTTAATGGGTCGCGTTGTGCGCAGCAAAGCCACTTAACGCAACCCTTTACACATATATATAGCAATAATTCTTGTCGAGTATACACGTATATGTACGTACATGTATACATGTACACGCGTACGCGTGTCGCGCGTGTGTGTGTAGATATTCCATAAATTGTCAATTTACATGTCAAAGCGCGTTACATCTATCTGCTTTATCTGTCTCTATGTTATCAGTCGCCCGAGTGCTCGCTCGGGTTTGACGGTGTTGACAAGCGATGTACACGCGCGCGCGAGCGTGTGCGTGTCCGTCGACGGCGGCCAGGCCGAGTAAATTGATGACAAGACCGCGGTACGTTGCGACACGCGCGTGCTTCGATGCTTTCTCATGCCTCAGTGAAGATGGCACATTAGATGCAGACTAGAAACGAGACGCCCGAGGAGGGAGATCTACGAGAGAGCCGAGAGAGACCCTCCTTTTGTTTTATTGATTTTCAAAACGCTGGATCAGTTTTCACCTCGCGCGGCTGGTCGAGAGATTTAGAAGCGGAATCTTCAAGCTAATAATTATCTTCGTTATATATTTTTTACAGGAGCGGAGCTCTTGTAAATTAAATTGCATTCCGATGAGCAATTGAACTGCTTGTCCGCGCTGATTTTATTTTATTTACCTGAGAAGATGTCCTAGTAGCACAGGTGCATTGGCTGAGCGTCGCCCAGTTAGCAAAATGTTAGCAAATTGGCAGCAGATTTAGCAGAGGCCTACGTCAAAACTATAGCCATCCGTGTCCGCATTTAGCTCCTGTTTTGGCAACGGAGTCTGCAAAAACATACGCTGTCAACAGATTGTCGGCAGAAATCGAACAGGTCCGGTCACGCGAGCAGATTTTGTTGCATTTCTGCTGACACGCCGGCAACGTGTCGAATATATCAGCTCCTGCGTGCAATCTGCAGTCTTTCTGCCTTCAAAATTTGTAGTGGGCACTCGACGGAATCTGTCCTGGCGGATTTGGCTACCTGGGCGGCTAAATATTCCATAAGTCCAGTGTTGGTTAATTATTGGTCTAATATTGATGCAATTATTTTTAATTATGCACAAAATCTGCATTTAGGGCCTGAGCAGAATGACTTGTACTTATCTTATTGTCCGTTACTTTAAGACAAAACATAAAACTCTCAGGCCCAAATGCAGAGTTTGTGCTTTAAAGGTCAAACAGTTTCGTAATTTACTATTTCGTTAAAAGGGTAACTTGACAATATATTAGGGAACTAATATGAGTAGATACCTGAATGAGAGATGAAATACAGGTGTTGTTCCCTCGACAGGAGGGCGCGAAAGCTGATCCCGAGGCAGCGCGCTCGAAGGCCGACGCGGTCCCGCGCAGCCGTTACTTCATTTCCACAAGGAGCCTCCGTCGTATACATATGACGGCGACATTCCTGCTCTTTCTCCTGGCGCTGCTGATCCTGCTCATCGGCATGATCGGCGGGCTGTACATCTACAAACAGTACGCGAGGACTCAGATGCGCCGATTCCGCACCGGCTGGTACAGCATTCCGTACGACAGCTCGAATAAGGCATCCTACGGCAGCAACGCGGTTCACCAGGGACTGCTGGCCGACTCCGACCTGTTCGCCAAGAGCCTCACCAGGGCCATGGAGCAGGACGCGCTGGACATCGCGAGGCACATAGACCACGACATCAACAATTTCTTCAAGGAGAGATTTGAGATCGATCTCGAGAACGAGGATTACGAGAAGATCGACGTACCCGACTTTCGCGGTGGACGACAGGGCCGCTTCATACACGATTTCAACATTGTGAGTCAATGTAGATATAATTGCTAAATGCCGCTAACTGGGCAATTCTAATTAAAGAAGTTTATTGTGAAAAATATCACCTCAGCCAGGGTTTTTCGCAATAAATTTCTCTAATTAGAATTTGCCAGTTAAAGTAGTTTAGCAATTTTTCTACATCGGTTAATCATGTATTGGCGTCAAATAATTCTTTACGTTCTTGTGAGTCAATATTCTCCCGTTTGTAACGTCGATTTAGCGGGAACTGGGACGTACTTCTCACGGTGTCGTATTTATTTGCAGAATAAGACAGGCATCATAGACATCGACGGTCAGTGCTGCTTCGTCATGCCATTGAATCGTCAGCGCGTGTTGCCGCCACGTAACATGTACGATCTTCTGAGGAAAATGTACAACGGTGAGTCTGCGATTCTGAAATCTGAATCAATTGATTTTTACCGCCTCGCTTATTTTTATTGAAATACCGCAATTCTTGTGTGCCAGGTTACTACGAGGTGGACACCGCGGTCGTGCGTGAAACCATGAAAGTAATCACACCGCCAATCACCGACATGTCGCTCGTCGGGACGTACATAGCGCGTGAATGCCAAGACTTGCCTACCTACATGTTGCAGAAAGTAAATGCCACTAGTGGTGAGTTACCGAATTTCGAGTTGCACAAAGCCCAGATCTCTCTCGGGTGCGCGACGTGCTCGCTGATATCCCGTTTGTAAATGTTCCAGTTGTAAAACGCAGCGCATCGCAGAGCGGAGTGTTCGGACAGTTCGCCGGCAATAGTATTATGGAGGTCGATATCGTGAATTTAGAGGACTTCGAATGAAACTTTGAGAAATTGAGCAGTGGGAATTTTCAATTATTCTAGAATATTTAAAAGAAACCACCAGTAGATCAATGTATAAAAGTTATAAGCTGTCCCAGGGCAAACTTAGGTAAATATTCTGTCGAGTTTAGAATCGTTACTTTGCATTTTTATCGTGCATCAATTAATTTCTCGTCCCCGGCGGTTTTTCCCCCCTCCCCCAAATCAGGTATACCCCCTCACCATTTATCAAGATTCTCGTTGTAAGTCTTTCCATTTCTACTAGTTATTCCATTTTCTATTAATTTTATATCGTAACGTATAATGCAAGCACGATTTGTTATTATTGATCTGAAGTATGCAGTACGTCGGGAGAAACTCCTTTATAATATCATGAGAGGCTAAACGTGAAGGATCGAATCGCTATAAAAAAAAGAAAAAGTGTAAGAAGTCTCTGTAAGATGGTATATTGTCTACAAGGTTCTTATAGGAAAATTAATATCTCTTCCATATTCTTGTGGTATATTATTCAAACAGGTAGCAAATACGGTGTTACGCCATAGTAATAAAACGTTTATTATTATGGATTCTGGCACACAGCTTGTTGACTATATTTATGAATGTCTGCGTTAATAATCGATGAAACCAGTAGAATAGCCGTGCACTAAGTGGTTGCGCTTACGATGCAGTTTTATGCTACGTTATTATTAGTGAACTATAGATATATATATTCATTTGTGAATTCTATTTAAAAAGAAATCTATCGCTCTCGTGTTACGAGAGCAGTGGCTTGAACACAGTAAGCTCGGGATATAAGACACGAATTATTAATATTGCAGAATTGAGAATAATTTTCGAAATGTGTTTCGATAGAATATATTGGTTTTACGATTAACATATGAAACACGTTAAACGTTTGTAAGATTACTGTGACTATATAAATATTTTTACAAAACGTTTGGATCGAAGAACACGAAAGTTACATAGAATACTGATCCATGAGAAGTAATGTGTTTCGATATTCCATATAAGACTTTCTTGTCTCTTCTGCATTTCTAATCGCGAAAGGTTACGTGCTTCAACAAATATTAATATTGCAGTCTTTTAAACATATGGTTTACGTTCGCCCAGTTCATTGCCAATTAATATCATGCATGACAGCCGGATCTGGAGTAGATAAGAACCGTAACTGGAGTAGATAAGAATTGCGACTGAATGCAATTTTGTCATTAGTCTATTTCGGTGCATTCGTCACGCACATACAGAGAGAAGCCGTTTTTAATTTTTTTCTCACATTTTATTACACCTACGTACGGCATGAAATGCTGGCAAATGTATCCAGGTACTCGGATATTCATTGCTTTTCAATACTGCGTATTGAATTATAGACGTATTCAACACTAACATTTAGGAAGTAAGTTTCTTTTCAAGTTAAGATACTTTGTAGTCAAAATGATTTGTGAACAAAAATTTGTATGCGATTTTAAGAGCATGTTAAAAAGTCAAAAACTTCTAGTCTGTTTCGTGTGGTGGATTATTATTATCATCTGTAATTGATATCGAAATTAAGATGGCAAACTAAAGATGTATTGTTGCAAAATGATTTTCACATATAAATTATTGAGATAGACCAACGATTAGATATAATATGCAAATACCGTGTTGTATTTCCGAATGGAATTAGGGAAGTTAAACGAATCTTAGTCTTTTTTGTGACTCAGCCGAGATAAAAGAGATATGTGTTTATTAATGTACGCACGGATCACGTTACGGACCGAGTGCCTGACCAATAATTCCATTCTGGATTAGTTATGTACTTTTGCTTGTATTACCGGCTCCAATAAATAAAACACGCAAAATGTATAAATATGCGGCGCGTACACGCCGGTTTAAATGTCCGTAGACACGTAGATTAAACACTGGTGGCAATAAATAGTACATTAGTTAGTTCCACCATTTTCAGGTGGGGATGGAAATGCAGAACATCTTGTTAATTAGCTTCCGTTAATTCCACGACGAGATGCGTAAGTTTGGTCTGCGCATTTTAAACCTTATTATAGAATTGTTACACGATTCTGTGTCACGTTTCGTGCGATTGTAGTTAAGTTCCTATAGTCATTTTTATCTCCATGAGTTTGACAAGTTTTCTTAGCTTTATAGCGTTGATAAACCAAATTTGTAAAACTGTACGCGAATTTATTGTAAAGTCTGACAAGAAAATAAATGATACATATGAATGTCAGTATGAGTGTAACCGTGCAGAGTATAGTATATTCTCAAATTCGATCGTTCCGTTAAAACAAAAGGTAGCTGCACGAAAAGGTTTTATCTAGTCCTCTGGAATTTATTTCGATATTATTTAACTCTTTTTTTATCTGTAAATCTTTGTCAAAACCATGTAATCAATTGTACATTTTTGTATTTGTTTACAGAATGTTTTTATATACAATTGTATACAAAAGATACAAAAACCTGATCTACAATGTGCTCCTGTTGCGTCGAGAAACATTTTATTTTGAAGCCAATAAATATGTTAAAAAATTTTGCGCAAGTTGACATATTGTACATTGTCGATACATTTTTCGAACGTTTTAACGTGCTTCTAGAAAATAGAATGTTTCCACGCAAGGAATACATTTGTAGATCAGGCTGAACGCATGTTCGTGGATCAAGTAACATTTGTGTGCATCAAGTCGGCTATAGCTTTCTGTCTAAGAGTGTAGAGTTTCTTCACCCACTTATCGAATCTTGCTTCTTGATCCATCATAATCTGGGGAAAAAGAGCGAATGTTATTATCTACTTACGAGTACATCGGGACACATTGGAAAATTTCAGGGCAGGAAAAACCTACCGACGTGTGAAATATGCTTTCTGGGCCACTCGAAACGTTAGACACGGGTGGAATCTGTATAGTATCCGAGGTAATGTCTATGACGATGTTTTTAAGTTTGCTCTCTTTGGTGGCAGACGAGGTGAATTGCTTGGGTGTGAAACCCTCGGCGTTTATTTCCTCGAGCACGCCGTCCTTGAAACGCGGCTCAATGGGAAAGTCGTCTGAAAGAACAATGTCTAATTTATCTCCCGGCGCGAGGCACATTCGTTAAACTCAAATGTTAATCGTAGAAGGTAACGCTTCCACCTTTTGCCGTCAGAATTTGGCTTTTCTCCGCGTTGGCTTTCGGCTGATTCGACTGCGAGCTGCTCGAGGGGCTTCGCGACTTCTCCCTGGACGTGGATCTAGCTTTTCTTCTTGTACGGTCCGAGGAGTGCGACCTGCCCGCGCCGAAGCGGTAGCGTCTCTTGTCTCGATCTCTCGAGTGACTGCTCCTGGATCCCTTGTGACTCCTCGAGCTCTGATCTCTCGCTCTGCTTCTCGAGTGTGAACGATGCTTGCACTTTGTCTTTGAGTGTTTCGACAGCCGCCTTCGATGCGGCGAGGATTCGCTGCTGTCCGAGCTGCTGGACCTGCGAGAATTGTTGCAACACTGAGACTTCTTTTCGCGGATGAAGCAACAAAAGGCATCAAACTCGACGAACGCATTCGCGATGGACACGCTGAATGTTATCGTGTAATTAATAAAATGCCAATGAAATAAATGTCACGCGCGGCAGTCAGAGGGTAGAAACGTTGTCGGTATCTGAGTTTACCAAGCTGAAAATGGTATAACTTCTCCCTATAGCCTTCGGCTCGTAATACAATCGGGCATTACTCTCGCGCTTTACCTCGACTTGTGATTTCGCTTCCTTCGGTACCTGCTGCTGTGATCCGAGTCCGAGTCACTGGAATACCTCGCCATAGCTGTCAACAACGACGCCCTCGTTTACATTCGTCCAGGAACCGACGAGCCGGACTGGCCGGACTCACTGTGACACCTCAAACTACAACAGATAACAAACTTTTGTAGGTTGTGTTCTGAAACGTTGACGGTACGTACAGAAAAATCTATAGTCACCAGTGGAAGGCTGGATAAAATTAAATGTTACATGCAGTTTTATAAGAAGAATAAATAAAATTAAGTGTACAAAGGAGGAAAAGAGGTACTACATTGCACAGTCCTAGGGTTATACTGTAGGCGCTGCCGCTCCTAATCGGCGGAGTAAAAAAAGTTCTATAGTACGTGCGACGCGAACTATAGTTGGTCAATTCCGTCAGACACATAAGAATTGACCAATCATAGGCCCGGTTTCATCAAGGCGAGTTAATCTAATCGGTCGGTTAACTTAACAGGGTGCCAACATAAAACTTCTTTATTAACCAAGAAAATAGGTTAATAAAGAAGTTTTATGTTGGCACCCTGTTAAGTTAACGGACCGATTA